TAGACTCCAGTGGTCACCTGCCGCTCTCCCTGCTTCACCTGGGTGCCCTCGCCTTCATCAAGTCCGCTGGGTCCACCCTGCAGCTGGGAGGGTGACGCAGAGAGAAGCCGCCCGCTTGCTATTTGCTCGGGGACACAGCTGCTGGGCATTTTGCCTGAGAGGCCAGATTCTGAAGACAAAAAGAATACATCCTGGCACGGATACTCTCTCTCCTGGGAAGAAATCTCGCCAGAACTGTCACAGGGGGCAGCTCCCAGGCTCCCAGCACTCTCCGCCAGCCCGCCTCCCTCCCTGCACGGACAGCTTGGCCTGCAGAGCAGGCACCCAGGGAGGCCTTCGGGCACCGGAAGCTGTCTGCAGCCTCCCAGCGGACCTTTCAGACTGAGCTGTTTTTGAGGAGCAGAAAAGATGGAGCAGAGTGGGTGACAGGGAGGCCACAAATGGGGCTCTTTATAGGGAAAAGAATAAATACACACTTCACTAACAATGCCATTTCCTCATCTGCCCAGGCTGGCTGGCTCTCCCTGTCACCCTGCTCCACGCCATTCCCAGGAGGCCGGTTGGCACGGAGCATGGGCATGGAGAGTGCGTTCCCAGCACAGCCATTAGGTCCAGACATGGGAGCAGATGCACACTCTCAGGAAGGCCGGGTCTCAAGGCCTTGGCAGGGACGACTACAGCTGCCCATCGCCAGCAAGCCCATCAAAAGAGGGTGAGGCGTGGGAGCCGGGCCCCTGGAGAGGCCACCACGGGACCCACCAGGCTGCCACCGGGTCTTGGCAGGAAGAGAAAACTTTTGCGCTTACAGAGAGTAAAGAGAAGGCATGGCCAGGCATTCAGCGGGTAGAGAACAAAACCCTTTTTTCTCTTGGTCCTCGAACCTTCTGCCAGGCTGGGCCATTGGTTGTTTTTTTTCCCCAGCTCTCTTGGCACAGGGAGGTGTGGTGATCAGGGCTGCCCAGGGCCCACTGAGGAGAGATCCTGAACAGGCACAGCCAGGGGGCCCAGGCCCCTGGATGCTCCCTCCCAGATTCAGAGCCCCATGGGCTTTGCATTCTGAGAGACCTGCCTTCACCAGTAAGCTTCCTCTTATTCAAAATAATAAGACTGTAACATTATATAAAAAAGGCAAGGTGCAGAATGTGTGTATAGTGTGGCACCATTCAAGGAGGCTGGGGACGGCGACAAAGTATTTATACGCATCTGCTCATGTGCACAAAGTGTCCCCATAAGGATAAACACAAAATAGGCTTTGGGGGTTGCCTCCAGGAAGGAAAAGGGGTGGCCTAGGAACAGGGGAGGGAGGGAGATTTTTCAGTGTGCCGTTTGGATCTTCAGTTTTGAATACTTTCATGTAACCTATTTTTTAAAACAGAATTCTAATTAGATAAACACAAGGGTAACAGTGAGTACCTCACTAGATTGCCATGAAGCTGGTGTGGGACAGGCCCTCAGGAAGTGGGGCTAGATCCCAGAGTGGGGTGGGGGGGTTCCTAAAGCACGTGCACATGCTGTAGCTCACACTGCTGGGGACTCCCAGCAGCAGCTGCTGGCACAGAGGTTCCTGTCCTCCAGGAGGGACGTGAGGTCCCCCTGGGAGCTGCCCAAGGCCACACAGCTGGAAGTGATAGACGATAGAGCCTGGCCTGGATTCCTGTTCCCAGGAGCCTGGGAACATTTGCAACTAAAAAAACAATGCAGATCTTTGGGGACACCAGCACCAAGTGAAAACCAGACCCCTCCAGGATGAGGTGACTTTCAAGGTCGGCCTTTGACAGTGAGGCTGTCATCCAGATTCTAGCTTCCTGCCAGAGCAGGTCCACCCCAGAGGGCCATTTGTAGAGGGAACACATGCTTCCATCCGTGGTTTCCCCGTCCGACCCCAAGCTTGACATCAGCTGGAGATGAATCCCTTTTCAAATGCCCCCAGACCCTCCCACACCAGCAGACTTCTCTTCTACGGACTTTGCATGCCTGCTGTGTACGAGGCATTCACCGGGCCATGGGGACCCAAGAGGTCTAAGGTACCCTCAAAGCTTCTAATTTAATTAGAAGACAGGTCAGGCACAGAGAGGTCAACAGCGGACTAGAATCTGTTCTTGGAGTCCTGGCTCTGCTGCTCCCCAGTCGTGTGACCTCAGGTTAGATCCTACACAGCTTGCAGCCTCTGCTCCCTCCTTCCGTAAAATGGGCATAATAAAAGCGGCTGCCTAGCTGGTTTTGAGGATTGAATGGGATAACCCAGGGAAGGCATTTAAACGGTGCATAGGAAGTGCCTGACCCTCAGCTGTATCAACTACTATTGTCGTGCAAAAGAGGACAGAAAGGACCAAAGGTTGGTCCAAAGCACCAGGATCTGAAGCCAGCTTCTGCAGCCTCCCCAGGCCATACCCAGAGTTCCTGCTGTCAACTCGCTGTGTCAGTTTACCTCCTCCCTGTGTGTTCAGCTGCTGTGCCAGAGACTACCTCTAAGGGTTCACACTCAAAGTCGGGATCCCCCATTCCAACTCCTGAGAAAGACCAGCACAGTGGGCGCAGGTGGCCTGACCCCATGCCCACTGCCTTCACCTTGACTCTACCTGCCACAGGAGCATGGCTGCCCAGCAGTCGACTCCTCTTTGCTCAGGCGGTCAATAAAACTGAGCACCGTCTTTTCACAGTAATAGATCCTCATTATTAGGACGTTAGAAAACGTGGAAGCATTTTAAAAAGAAAAGAACCAGTATCTTAATCTCCCACCCAGAAAGAACCACAGTCATCATTTGGCCATGTATGTCTTTCCAAACTTTGTCCGATACATGCAGTTTTGACAAAATTAACAATTGTGCCATGTGTGACTGACAGCCTTCTAAAACGGCCATCATGGATCCCTACCTCCTAGTGGTCACACTTCTGTGTAATCCCTTCCCCCTGAGTATGTGCTGGACCTGATGACTTGCTTGTAATGAGTCGCATATGGCCCAAGTGGTAGAATGCCATTTTTGACATTAGGTTAGAAAAGACTGAATTACATCTTGCTAACATTCTTTCTCTCTGGCTCTTCTCACATGCTTGCCCTGATGGAGAGGACCACCTGGCAAGGAGCCGAAAGCAGCCTCAATCCAATAGCCTTGAGGCTCTGAATCCTACCAACAGCCATGTGAGTGAGCTTGCAGGCAGATCCTGTCCTGGTCCAGTCTTCAGATGAGACCATAAAACACAGCCCTGGTTGACAGTTTGTGGCTTTATGAGGAACTCAGAAGCAGAGGACCCAGCGCTGGACCCACACAAATGGTGAGAGGATAAATGCATGTTGTTAAGCCACTATGTTTTGGAATAATGTGTTATGCAGCAATTTATACCTCATAAACTATGTATGTATATTTTATAAACTATTTTTAAACCTAACATGACAACATAAGCCTTCTTCTACAGTATCATAACTCTGTAAACATCATGTTTGCTTGTAGCCTAATGCTTCAGCCATCATTTGTTGAACTGTTCTGCTATTGTGGGACGTTTGAATTATTTTCCCATTTTTACTATGTGGTTAACATCGTTATGCCTTCAGCATTGCCTTTAAGATGATTTCTTCAGAGCAGATTTCCATAAGAAGTATTGGGTCAAAGAGCAAGATACACACATTTAACCATATGAGTAATGATAAGCTCACCACCCTGTCACTTTTAAGTCTATCCTCCTTTAAACCCTCACTCTATAGACAAAACTGTTTGATAAAATTGCCATAAGGTCAGGCTGAGAGCTAAGCCTTTGGTTGGGGTCAGAAGATCTTAGAGAAAGCATAAAATAAGAAGTTCTGGCTCAATTTTCCTTTAAAGAGGAAATTTAGTACAGGAGGAGGCTGAGGGTACACCTTCTAGGTTCTGCTAACTACAAACTCAGACTGTATGCCTCGGCAAGCCAGTTCTTTTCATTGTCTCTTAGGGTTCCTATTTACTGCTGTGTGACCTTGGGTGAGTTACTTAACCTCTCTGTGCCCCAATGTACTCATACATAAAAATGGGAAGTAAAAATAATACCCACATCACAGGCTTGTCAGAATTAAATGACTTCAAATGTAAAGTGCTTAGAAGAGGGCTGTTGATACCATGTGAGTACAGGCTCATTCTTAGAGAAGAGTGGTATGGGGATGAAGAGGCAGGCAGACCTGGCTTCAAATTCTCCCATTTTAGGTCTGTACGACCTTGGACAAACGACTTAGCCTTTTGGAGATTCAGTTTCTGTATCTGCAGACCAGGCCATGAAGCTAATGAACCTTTGGGATCCCTCTGTTACCAAGGCTCCACGTCTAATTTTGTGTTTATAAATGTATAATTGCACCTTAATTTTTTCCAAGAAGGCCCCAAATTTCTAAGATTCAGGGCCTCAGAAACTTGAATCCATCCCAAAGAAGGGCGGTAAAGTAACAGTACTTACTACAGGGGGTGGTTGTAAAGATGAAACAAGATAATGCGACTTAAAATAGTGTCTGGCTCATAGACAGCCCTGACTAGTATATAGTAGCTGCTACTTTGGAACATCTGAGAAGAGAGCCTCCTTTCCTCCTTTTTTCCTTTATGCATGTAACCGCTTCAGGAAACTCAGTTTACAAAAACCCAAATTTTGGAAGACAGGATAAACCAGAGGACAACCATTCTCATTGTAAAATGACTCACTGACCAGAGTTAGGAACTTTGTGTTTTGGGTTGATGACTGAAAGCAGAAATCCATCCACTGAGCCAACATCATTATTCAGACACCGGAAGTGCTTCGGAATCCTGAGAGTTGGGTCCCTGCCGCAGCAACAGGGGGCGGCTGGTGCCTTTGGCCCTGAGCAGCTGCTGGTGGAGTGTGGACGCCGCGCCTTTCCAAGCCCCGAGGATGAGAGTCCTACCTTGTTTCTGTTTGGTTTTTTTTTTGTAAACATCCAAATGACTGTCTTTACTTTCTTTTAAAAAACGTGTTGATGAAATTTTGTATGAGTGACACAGGTGTCATTCATAATAAAAGCCCTGGTGATAAAACAAGACAATAATGAAGAGTCTTGAGAATGGTAAATAAAGCTGGGAATAAACAACCATGCAAGAAACAGCGGCTGATGGAATGCGGGAGGAGGAGGGCCCGAGTCAGCCCGGAGGCTCAGCATCCTTCCGCCCAGCGGCCCCTTACGGAGGCGGGGCTGCGGACCAGGACACGTCCGTCCGAGAAACCCGGTCAGGATCCGCTCCCGGATCTGCTGCTCTCTGCCCTTCCCGGACTGTGGCCCCTCCTGCACTTCCAGCCTCCAGGACTCACCCCAGTCCAGCCTCGTGCCCCCTCACTCAGAGACATCTTTCCTGATTGGAGGCATTTCACACCCTCTGTCCTTCCTTCCTGCTTGTGGAGACGGGGGTCGGGGGTGGGGGGCTCTCTGAACATGCCCAGGTGACCTGGGGCTGCACCCACATTTCATAGATCAGACAGGACCCTCCCGCCCATCTCCTAAAGTAATGATTCCCAACCCTGGAGATGCTGGGTGGTGGAGCAAGTGGCAAGGGCCCTCCTGCCCCGAGCTGGCTCTCTGCCCTGGGTGACCTTGATGGTGTAACCATTGTCAACTGACAAATGGAGGCAAAACTGAAAAAGAATAAAAACCTTTGATTTAGGGTCTCAGAATTACAATTTGGGGAGCACAGACTCAGGTAGATACCCAAACAGTGCTGCTTATAGGGTGAAAGCAAGGGGGGTTTATGAGGAAAAGAAAGAAGGGTTGAGGGGCAATTACATGAGTTAAGGGGAAAAAAAGCTTCTTCTGGGTGTTAACAAGCTAAGCCGTCTGGGTTACACATTGACTGACTACGGATGGTACCTTCAGCAAGTCCACGTCCATCGTCTTGTGATCAGGATGTCCTTCCTCCTGCTGGCTTCTTCAACAATTGAGGTTTGCCCAGTCCAAAGGTTCTGGCCCAGTTCAACTGAAGGGGAGCAAGGTGGTTTCCCCCCAGTAGCCACTCCAGCTCCACGGTTAAAGGGCCCCAGGTGTGCTAATATTTCACACCTTGATGAATCACAACAAATTCTTCCCCCAGCACCATAAAGCGCAGGGGCTGGGAGGCCGATGCCCACATGGTCCCCCTTGCTCCCATGTGTGGGGATGAACTAGGTTCCTGTGTGGGAAAGTGTCTCGGAAATGGAAAGGTATGTAACAAAGATAAATTATAGTAATAAGCTGGGAGAATTTCAAGTGTCAGCCTGACTTGACGTTCACCTTCTGTCTCCTGCAGTGACCTGGAAATGCTGCGGGGACGTTTTCCCTTACCCCCGGGTCTGCCTGTGTGTCCCACTGCACAGAGGGGCTTCCTCAGGGCTGGGTCTGACAGTGCCTGGGGACAGGAGAGCCATCGCTCTGACACCTCCTCCCTGGGACCCAGCCACCCCACCTCCCGTGACTTCCTGCAGCTTCCTGCAGATACCAGAGCCGGGCAAGAGCCGTTGGAAGGCAGGTCTCTCCCTGATGGCTGGGTGTCCTCCTGGAGAGCGAGAGGTCAGCTTCCGAAAGGAAGGTCACAGAAGCCCTGTCCCATAACATGCTCCAAAGAAAACAAAAGGGGTTCTGTGGTCGAAAAAAGTTTGGGAAATTCTGCTGACCCAAGTCTAAAGTCCCTTTCCCTTTCCCTTCCTCTGCAATCAAGGAAACCCAGTAACCCGGAGATCTGGGACAACACAGTGGCTGAGGGCATTGTTGGGGTTTTCTGTTTAGGGTTTTATTTTTTAAAAGGCAATTTTCAAATATACACATGTAGAGCAAATATTAAAGCAAGCCGTTTGGCTGCGTCATTCACCTTCAACAATCATCAACATTTAAGCACATGGGAGAGGAGGGATTTGGGGACCCACCAGGAATTAGTGCTGGGACCCTGGGCTACTTGTTGCGTCTCTCTGAGTGCCTCCTCATGCATTAGGCGGGCAGAATAACTGGGAATAATGACAGTGAGAACTCCCAGTGCTGGAGTGAACGAAGTCAGGAAGCTCTAAGGTACCAGCCAACTGTCCCCAACGATGTAAGTCCTCAGTCTTAGTGGGAATCATTGCTATGGGGTGCAGGCTCGGTAGGGGCTGCAGCCAGATTGCCTCAGTTTGAATCCCAGCTCTCACTGTTTCTAGCTGTGTGACCGTGGACAAGTCATTGAACCTTGTGCGCCCCAGGGTTTTCATAGCAGTACCTACCTCGTGGGTGTTTGAGAGCATCAGGGAGAATCCACGGTAAAGGCTTGGCTCCTATTAACATAACCTGATGAATGTTACTTATTTTGGCACCTCAGACCGTCCATTCACACCGAGCATCCTCCTCCTGAAGGGGAATCTCAGAGCACCAGCTTTTGGGAAAGTCTGGACGAAGAAAATAAAGAAGTCGAGTCTCGGGAGTCCTGTTTCCACCAGGTCACACCACTGTTGCTCCAGCCGAAATGTCAGACCTGGAGGCCCAAGAGTTATGTGTTCTGATTTGCTTGCTCCTGAGAGCAGAGATTTACCAGATTATTTACAGGACATCCAGACATGCTTTTAGGTTGAGCTGACACAACCTTGGAGAGCAGGAATCACAAACCTCAAGAGGCCTCACCGTGCCCCTCCCTCCCCCCATTGGAGGAACAAAAAGAATCTCAGATCTTGAAGACCTTTGGACTTGGGCCTGACCCTTCACCAGGAGCCCCGCTGCCTGAAAATCCTGGAGTGGGATCCATGGATCAGTCCATTCCGTTATCCTTCCCTCATTGAGCCCACAGACTGGGCACACCCTTGGTGCTGGGCACCAGGAAGACAGGATGCAGTGTGTCTAGGTTTCCCCGGGGACCTTGGGCTGGCCACTTACCATATCTGGGCTTTCTGTCTTTGATAGGGTACACCCGGATAATATCAAGAGTCCCTTCCAAATCTTCCTGCTTTTTGTAATTATATAATTCTATTTTTTATCCGAAATGCTACTATTCCAATAATCTGATTGTTTTTTTTGCCAAAAACAGGGGGGATGGTGGGCAGTTAGAGATAGAAATTGGGGCCTGTGGCCTCTGAAGAACGTGGGTCAGCTCTCAGCCTGCATCTGCCCACGCCATCTCCTGCATCCAGATGTTTACAGCAGCCGAAACCACAGCACTTCCGTAGATTTCAGACAGTGTGGCCTGCTTCTCCCATCTGGCCCCTTGCTTTGTTTATTAGGGAAAAAAAACACCAAAAATCCCTACCACCAAAGTTCCATACAGGCTGAACCCATAGCCTCAGGGAGGCAGTGACCCCAACTTGCATCAAAAGGAAATCCCAGCAGCCCAAGGAGGGCTGGGCCTCCGACCTGCTCACTGGCTAGAATGCCCTGAACTGGAAAGGGAGCCCTCTGCCCAAGTTCTGACCTTTCCCCCCAGGGCCTGGTTTTATTACAGCGCTGGCATGGCTTCTCTGGTATAAAATGACTTTCTTCACTGTCAGTTGCATTCATTAAATAATGCTGCTAAAAAGGCCAGTTGTCACTGTGCACAGAAAGCTGACTGGGCAGGGTAGGCTGTATCATAGTCCTCCTCATCTGCTGCCAACTTTCTGCAAGAGGATTGTTCACCCCTGCCGTGAGATTTGCGGAAAGCCCCCCCCATCATCAGGCCTGGCCTTGTAATTTCGTATGGCCTATGAGTCGGAGGTGGACATGGCATAAACCAGCTCTGAACAGAAGCTTTAAGAGCCATCATGTCCTTCCAGTCACCCTGCTCTTTCCTTTTGCCTTGGGAATACCAGGTTTCAGACAGGGGTTCCTCCTTCATCTCGGGTCCTAGAATGAGAAGTCACAAGGGGCAGAGCTGTAGCCACCAACGTTTGTGAGTGAGAACACAACCATGGTTGCTATAAGCCACTGAGATTTGGGGGTTGTTTGTTACAGTGTCACAACCTACTGGAGGCTGACTAACCAGCAGTGTCACCCCAAGATGGTGTCATGATGTGCCCCCTCGCCTTTGCTGCCTATTCCTGTTAAAATTTGCACACTAAAAATAATCTCTGAGTCCCCATTTGCAATGGTGTCTCTGTTCCTACGTATATATACAACAATAACAATACAATACATAGCAGGAATAATAGTATAACTCCATTCGGGTTCCTGGACCCACTTCCAATGTAAGTATGTGGGAGGGGGGGTCATCCCACACATGCTAACATCAAGCAATTCTCAAACACCAGCTGGGTGTCCGAGAACTCAACTCAATTCCGATGTTATGTGCCAGGAGGCAGCACCAGCTTCCCCAGGTTAAGGGCTCCGTCCTACAGGACTGCCCGCGACCCACCCCCACAGATGCCGGTCACAAGGCCCAAGCAGTTCCCCGTGCTTCTGACCTACTGGCTACAAACTGGAGGTTCCCACGACCTTCCCCTTGGGTTCAGTTTATTTGCTAGACCAGCTCACAGAACTCAGGAAAACACTTACATGTTTACCAGCTTGATAAAGGATACAAGTTAACAGCCAGATGAAGAGAGACACAGGGCCCGGTCCCAAATAAGAGAGCTTCTGTCTTCATGGAGCTTGGGACCTGGCTCAGCATATGGGGGCGTTCTGGCTCCCCAAGGATAGAAGCTCTCCAACCAAGAAGCAGGATCCAGGAGAGCAGCAAGCGAAAAGCGCTTCTCAGGGGTTTTCATGAGGGCTTCCCTGCGTGGTCGTGATTGACTGAATTATTGGCCATTGGCTGATTCAACTTCGAGCCCCGGCCCTGGGGACCCAAAAGTCTCTCATTGACATGACCAGACACCCATTTCACCTTTAAGACACTGCAGTGTTTTTAGGAACTGTGGATGAAGACCAAATATACCCGGGAAATATATATTTGGTCACCTGAATAACCAAATAGGTATTTCTTAGGACTCATTATATCGCACCATTCCATCCTTATCCAACCCCCAGTTAAAAGCACCAGTCATGGGAAAGCACCGGTGAAACGAACTCTGACTTTGTGTAACTCCAGGGAGGGGAAATCCTGCGCAAAATACCTTTGAAATCGAAATCAAAGGGATTTGAAATCGAAATCAATCAAAGGGAGAAATAAGGTTTAAAACTCATTTATTGTTTGCAAGCAGTCATCCCGTGTCTCTCTATCTCCTGCTGTGGCAGAAGCAAGCAAATCCGCCCCCAACCTCTCCGGTCCAGATAAGCCCTTGCTTGTCCGTGTAATTACCAACTGATACGGAGATGGACTACCCCTCTCCACCCCTTGGAAACGCCTGTTGATACGTGGATACACTAAACCCAGACAAAAGATTCTGGAAATATTGCAATTTTACCCGCACCGGGTTAAATCAATACTGGTTAAACCTCAGGAAACTGCTCGACTTTTGTTCAATATGGTGAGTCACGTGAAGGCTGTTCTCCACTCCACATGGTTCTCTGCTGCCGTAGAATAGAAACAACACAAAATCTGGTTGTTCTGTTCCCGATCTTAGCAACTGTGATGGTCAGTTTTATGAGTCACTGCAACTAGACTATAGTAGCCACTTATTTGATTATTTAATCAAACATGAATCTAGGTGTTGTTGCAAAGGGATTTCATGGACGTGCTTGACTTTTAGCAAAGGATGTGATCCTTGGTAATGTATGTGGGTCTCATCCAATCAGTTGAACGCTGTTAGAGCAAAATATGAGGTTTTCTGGGAAGAAGAAATTTGAAAGTACCAGTTCCTGCCTGAGTTTCCAGCCTGCCCTACAGATTTTAGGTTTACCAACCCATCCTTACAATAAATCTCCCTCTCCCTCCCTCTCCATCCAGAACCAGTCCAGATTTTACCGTATTCTCAGATCTGAACTCTCCTCACTATTTGTGGGGCTTCTGGGACTGAGACCCCTGATCTCAGCAAGTACTATGCACATCAGGGACGTGAGGGGGGCCTCTGAGAAGGAGAGGCTCCCTGGCTCATTCCAAAAAGCCCTAAAGGAGTAAGTTGGGGGCTCTCTCCCCCTTTTCGGCCCTCCTTTCCCTGACCCTTCCACATGCCCCTTCCACATGCCCCTGTCAGTCAGCCTTCGCTGACTTCTTTTACCCTTCAAGGCTATCCTTTACCTTATCCTAATTTCATCATTAGAAAAACAAGTTTATTGATCAAAGCCTTATTGGCAGCCCTACCCCTTTCAGAAATGACCTATCTCTTGAGTCTCTGTTTTTTTTTTTTTCCTTCTTTCTGTTGGGAAGAAAATTTTTTTTCTGCCCTTCAAAACTTCTCACTGGTCCAAGAATTAAGTTGACATGAGACAGATTAACAGGAAAAATTCAAATTTAATTTTATACATACGGGAACCTCATGTACATGAAAGGTTCAGTCAGAAAGGTAAAATGAGGTACATGTGCCACCACAAGCTACAGGATGGGATAGGGGCCTGGGGCTTCAAAGGGAATGAGGTCAATGCCCCTGACAATAAGAACAGGTGTTTGCCTTGCCATTCAGATGGGTCACTTAGATAAAATTTATCTCATCATAACTCTTATTCTGGGAAAGACTCTCAATTTAGATTTTCTACTTAGTTAAAGAAGGGGCAGAAGTTTTTCTTGAGGCCACAGGGTCTTGATCTTCAGCTCAAAATAGTCCACGTGCTAAAGAGGCACATTTTGGGAAGACTTGTTCTGAATCCCCTCAGTCTCACCTTTGAAACTTTAAAGAAATTTCATAATCCAGAAGCTAAACTGATAGATTGTTTCATATCTCACTGAACCAGTCTCTTAGTCCTGAGACTAGGTTAGTTCAACTAAACAGTTGTGTCTCATTTCGAGAGGCAGTCTTGCAAATGGGCTCCCACAGTTAGGCTTGTGTTGTGCAGGGCATCAGGTAATTATAATTAATAAGAGGCATTTCTACAGAAACAAAAGGAAAACAAAGGTTAATGGTTGGAGCAAATTATAAACCCAATATCTGAGTCCTGAGTGCTGCCAGTGAGAGGATTTCTAGATGTCAGGCTCCTAGCATCTTCAGATAGAGTGATGACAGACAGTGGCAATCTGACAGATTTCCTGGCTTGCTGTTTGAATGTTCCTGTATGGCCCACAGAGCAACAGGCACAAAGATGGTCTAAATGTGGGCTGTTGTGGTGATTTCTCTAAAGTTTATATCAAGTTGCCTAACTTCAGTTTGCAGGGCTTCAGGAAAAAGGCAGCTTTGGTTCTCAATGACTTCAAGTCAGAAGGATGGGAGTAAATTGCAGATGTTCGTTTGGGGTCATAGCCAGATACTTGAGGAAGCCAGAAGAATTCAAGATTCAGTCCAGTTTCTAGGGAAACAACTAACCCTCAAAGACAGTTAATCAGAACAAGAATCCAATATCCACAAAGGTATGTTACTAAACCATGATTTTTCTCTCCAAAATCACCCAAATTTCCATCAAAGATAGTCAAATTAAGACTAATCTGTTTGCGAAGTAAGTCTAGTTTCAATAAACTTGGCCTGATTGTTTATATAAGAGCAGTGAGAATAGTGGTTGACTATATATAGAGAGGCTCTTTTAAATCTGCTTTCCTGGCACTTCCCATAAAGAATTCCAAATTAAACTTTTAAAGGCCTTTTGAGTCCAGGAAAGCCAAGCCAAGGACTTTCCATCAGATTCTTCTACAATACGTACAGATTTGGGTGAATTCCTCTCTTCTCAAGATCCCCAAAGTATCTTGAGGTTCCTGGGTCTGCCAGGAAGTGGCCTTCCTCTCCCCCTGGTTAGGCTCTTGGAACCCCGTAAACAAGGCACCAAGCTGATTTTCCCAAGGGCTTCATCGGTTCCATAAAGTCAACCTTAGTCACTTAGAGCTGTCTGGTCATAGCTGAATCCCTATGTCTCTCTCTCAAATATGACATTTCAGTCAAACCCTTGGTAATATAACCAATGTTTCCAATTGTGCCCCATTACAAGGAGAACAGATTCTTGTTGAAGTTATGCAAATAACCATATTGCCATGAAAATAAGAATACTGACTGAGAGTCTCTGAATTCTGGAGGGATCAAGTAGGGAGAAAAATATAAATGTCTCAACCTGCTTACAAAAGTATATTTTACCAAATTGCTGTAGGTCAAAGATAAGACAAAAAGTTTCCTTAAATCTGGAAAAGCAGAGACTAGAGAACCATCAATGTTTTAAACAAGAAGTCATAAAAATTCTTCTCCTCTTCCTCAGTTCATTAAGTCCCATGTTATTATTGTTCTGCTTGAATCCAGTGTTCCCATTAGTTCTGTAAATTCTTACTCAGTTCAATTTTATAATATAAGGTTATCAGAAACCTTTATTTGTCAAAAGTCCCTTCTGTGAATCTTTCTGAAGGTGAAACACATTTGCAAAAGCACCACGATAAAACAATAGCTGTCTATAAATGACAAAAGACGTAAAAATTGCCATGGTTAAAGATATGAGGAGAGTTCATTATAATGTAATTGACGAGGGAATTTTGTTATTTCAGTGACACATAACATGTCAGTAACTAGAATTACAAGTGATAACATACGAGGACATATCAGATTTCTAGGAGTTTCATATAATTTCTGTAATACTTATTTTAATAACGCATATCTACACAAATATAATCAAAGAATGTGTAGCATCACTTACTTGACAGTGCTTTCCAAGTAATTTAAATACCAAATAAATAAATCTAATTAGTTTAATGAATCCTTTGGAATGTTCCAGAAGCCCTTCTGGAAAAATCCCAAAGTCTCTTCCAGGTCAGGAAGACTTCATTTAGAATTTGATTTTAGGGAGTTGGTAAAAAATATCAAGAAAGGTTTGAATATTTGATT